TAATGATTATGAATATATTAATAATCCATTAGGGATATTATGTGATAATCTAATTTTATCAATTCAACGTTCAATTATTGTTAAAAATGCTAAATCAAAAACTGGAAGTAAAACATTTAATATTGAAAATGAATATAAACAAGCTACTCAAATTGGTGGAAAACAATATATACGTCTTGCTGGTTTACGTGATGATATTTCAAATAATAATGGATTTAGTAAATCATTAAATGATGGAAGAAGAAAACAAAAATCATCAAAATATGAAAAAACACAAAGGAAATTTTCATTTCATTCATTCTTTATTATAGGAATGACTAAAAATCAAATTATTCAACAAACATTATTTAATGGAAAAGAAGGAGCAAGTGCTTTAGCTCATTTAATAAAAGCAAAAGTAATTCCTGATTGTGTAAGTTCAATATGGGTATGTTGTGTTGATAAAAGATATGAAAATGGAAGAAATGGTAAATTTTCTGTATCTAAACAAAATATTACATGGTCAGGTGGAAAACTTAAACCAGATATAGATGATGAAAAAGGATTAACAAAATATTTAATTATTTATTTATGTGCTAAAGATAATGACTATATGATTAAAAAACAATAATTCAATTATCTTTTTATAATTCTTAAATCTCCTGTTAAATTATCTATTTTTAATACTTCATTTTGATTTATAGATTGATATAAATAATAAGCAACAGAATTTGTAGCTGATCCTGCTGTTTGTCTATAAATATATCCAAAATTTTCTTTAGAATATCCTTTAAATATAATAATTGTTGCAATTTGTGTTTTAAATGATGGATTTAATGCTTTCCAAATATGTAAATTCACAATAATTGTTGTTTTTAAATGTCTTAATCTTGTAATAATTTCTCCCCATGTTTTATCTTCTTTCATTAATGCAAATGATGCATCTTCTAATATAATTAATAAATGTTTTTCTTGTGGTTGTTTATAATATTGCATTAATGCTGGCATAAATTTTTCATAATTCATTCCATAAATTGGTGTTTTAATTAAATCTTTTAATTCTTTAAATGTTTCATCTTCTCCTGCATTTTGTGATACATAGATAATCGCTTCATATTGGTGTTCTATTTTGTTGAGTTTCGCTAATTCTTTCATAATAAATGTTGTTTTCCCTGCTCCTTGTTTCCCTATAATAATATTAAAACTATTATAATAAAAGAATATTTGTCGATGAACTCTTTTAATTTGATTCTCTCCTTTAATATTACTTAATCTTTCTTTAATTTCTTTATCTATTTCTTCTTCTCCAATATCATCATCATCATCTTCTTCTTCTTCTCTATAATCATTTATATCATCATATCAAAATTATCAAATTCCATAAACTAAAATTATAAAGATTGAATTATTTAATAGTTTGTTTGAAAAACTTCTAGTCTTTGTTCTAATAGTCCATTTCTTATTTCTTCATTTGTTTTCATTTCTTGAATATATAAATTTCTTATTTTCTCTAATTCTTTTCTTAATCGTTTATTCTCTGAAATAATATCTTCCATAATATCATTTGGATTATCAATCACTTGTCTTTTAATATATTGATTCATTTTATCTTTTTGATTTCTTGTTTTCTTAGGTGCTGCTTGTTCTATTAGTGGATTACTTGGTCTTATCATTGCTTGTGGCATTTCATTAATATCAATTACTTGACTTTCAACAGTGTTTTGTGGTGTATTGTTCATATTCTTATTATTTGTTTTTTCTTGATTTTCTTGTTGTTTAAATATCATGTTGAAATATTATTCGTGTCATTCTATATTCGATTTTCTTCTTTCATGAGTTTTATCAACTAGGGTCCTTTCATTATTATCATAAATACATCATTTCAAACTCATTATTTCATTTGATCAAATGACAACATTAAAAGATATTCTCATTACACTTGCTGGTTATGAAATAGATCAACCAACATTAGAAGAAGCAATTAAACTTCAACAACAAATTGCAAGTTTATTACCATCACTTCATGAAGAACATCAGAAAAAATTAATGAAACAAGCATATTGGAAATGTGTATGGTTAATAAATACTTTAGCACCTTGGGTTAATAAAAATAATTGATTATTTTATATGAAACCTTTCATTTTATTATTAAATATTTATTAAAAAGTATTTTCGTTATTTTAACTTTCTTTCATTCTTTAAAATAAGTTAAAATTAAATAAAGAAAAACTAATAAATTAGTTTAAAAGTTAAAACCATTCAAATCTTTAAGAGATGAATGGTCTTCTTGGAAATGGAAACTCCAATAATTGTTTATACCCTCAGTGACTCTGTAAATTGATGATGGATCTTCATACTCTGTATCACTAGAGTCTTCAAATTCCATTTCATTGTTTTCGTCTTCTTCTATTTGAGCCTCGTTTTGTAACATTTCTTCTTCGTTATTATCTTCTAATTCCAGTTCATTACTTTCATATTCTTCTAATTCATCTTTGATGTTTTCATGAATATATTTTGTTTTTGAATTGAAATTTCTCTCGTGCATTTTATTTGTTTTCTCAATTGTTTTAGTATGTGATTTATTCCAAATAGTAATATATTTGATTATATATTTTAAATTCTCAATGTGAATTGGATTTTCTTCATCTAATAATATAATTACATAGCGTGATAATAGTTCTATTAATTTATACATTAACCAGAAAGTTTCATTTGTAGAGATTATATTAAGACAGTGGTTCATTGCAATAATTATATTGTGATTATTTTTGGATAATATGCTTTTTCCGAAAAATTTTAATTTATTTATGAAATCAGTAATGTCACTAATTAAATTCTCATTAATATTTATATTATAAGATAAATTAAAATTTTTGAATTGTTTTCTCCTAAGTGATTTAAGATCTTCAATGATATCATTTGATAAATAAAATAATTTTAGTCCATATGAAGTTAAAGAATCTTGAGCATATTTTGGTTCACGTTTAGGAGGGTTGGATCTAAAATAATATGAACGTTTTTTGAGTCGACTATAATCTTTATTTAATTTAATTAAATTGTTAGCTACTGAAATATTTTCAGATGAAATATTCATTAAATTCTCTTTATTGAATTCTTTTAATTCGTTTTGTAAATACATGAACTGCTCTGTAGGTTCAATTTGGCATGCCTCATGCTCATAAATTAGAGTGTTTTCGTCGAAAATACTGGTCATAATTAATGCTTTTGATTAACTAATGATTAAAAAACATTTAGAGATTGTTTAAAAAGG